TTGCCACACAAGTAGGAAAACCCAGTCATGGCTATCAGACAAGTTTTGTGACCACATCACCCTTACCTCAGGCCAACTAACTCCTCAGGCTACAACCCCCTTGATTATTATGTGCGGGTGGCAGTTGAACAAGAGACCAACAAAACTCTTTATAACATCAAAGATGAACTGAAGCCAAGGATTATGGCAGCATTCACCAACTTAAACAAGGAGAATGTCCAGAAGAGTTGCAGGAGATTCCAAAGTCATTTGGAAGTTGTGGTTGAAGCCAATCACGATTTCATTGAATAAATGTACTCTTTAGTATTTCAAGATATTTTTTATGTAATTTTGGTAAATCTATCTGTTAAAATGAGATATCGGTGTTATTTTCATTTTTGTGTCATTTAGACGACAATTTATCCATCGCACCATATATTCTCTGGCAGTACTTCAGGTATCTTATAATCTTTGATATCTTGATTTTTGTTGTTTTGAACATTCTTTTGGCTGATGTATTCTCTGGCCTACTTCAAGTATCTTATAATCTTTGATATTCTTTATCTGTGGATTAAAAATAGATAGAAAATCCTCTGGATCCTTATAAAGTGCAGACATTTATATATACAAGAGGGGTGCATAAGTAGGTATACAGTAAGTATGATAGGATTTATTTAATTCATTTAAATCATTTTTAATATTTTTATTTCCATAATTTTTATTATAATACATTTATTATAATTATTATTTTTTTAATAAATAATAATAATAATAAATGTTTTACAGATAAAGTGGTAATTTAACAGACAACGATGCATTTATATGAATCTTTTAAACATTACTGGGAGACATCATTATTGATATGTTTGTATAATCAATACATTTTGTGTGCTTGTTTTGTTTTGCATTACTGTATACCTACTTTTGCACACCTTTTGTAAAAATAGAAGTCTGTTTCCTGTTTGAGCGTAACCATCATTGGTTGAAGGAATAGAAATGTAATTCTACAGAAGGATGCTGAGGATACTGTGAACCAAACATGATGAAAATAAATAAAAAGTTTTTTTTAAATGGAAATGAAAAAAAAACTAATACTTCACATCAGGAAGAGTCAGTTGAGGTTTCTGGGTCACATGATGAGGAAGGAGGGCTATATCTATAGTGTGTGTGTGTGTATATATATATATATATATATATATATATATATATATATATATATATATATATGTGTATATGTGTATTTTAGGCAGCAATCCTTCTTTCATGCACATTTCATTGAACACGACAGACAAGGTGCTTTTATTTAGTTTTTTTTTACAATTTCTTATGTGATCTAAAATTTTTTCCTTTTCAGATGATAAATTATATAAAAAACTGTCCGAATGTTCTTTTTTTATCCAGGCGCTTTCGGCTATACATTTAGCCATTTTCAAAGGATGAAATTTTTTTAAATGTTAAATAAGAAATGTTTTAATTTTTTTCATATTTACAGTCAAGATATTGTGTCCATGTTCAAAGTTAATATTTTTTTTAGTGTTGGTTTTTTTTAAAAATTAATAAATCTTTAATCCATTATTTTTTTAAAAATTTTTCATGTAGATGATGATATTATATTTGTGTTGTCAAAAGTATTTACAAATAGTGTCTGGTAGGTCCCCAGGAATATTTAAATGACATCTAATTGAGCTATGGTCAGAAAGGTGTATCTTGCTTTGTTTATAATAAACAGTATTAACGACATTTACATTTGGATATGTATCAAGCAGATATGAATGTATGAGAGAAAATCATGGAGAACTGTAGTTTAAAAACAGTAAAATAGACCTTGCTAACCAAAACGCTCCTCTGTTGATCAATCGGTAAAGGCATGTCAGGCAATATGATGGTTCCGTATAGGATACAGGTTTGATTCCTGTCAGAGGACACATATTTTCTATGAAAATTTCTCGGACAATCAGGCCGGTAAATGTCATTTATAAACGAAGCATTTACTTAAATATTTGTATCTATAAAAAGAATGTATAAACGTAAAAAATGTCTTAAAATAATTGTCAGACTTTGTCCATTTCATATATATATATATATATATATATATATATATTATAAAGTAATAGAATTTTGGGGATTGAAGCAAATCATTATAGCAATTCATCAAGTCTAGAAGAATCCTCAACAGAATGCAGAAACCACTGGACGGCTATTTCATCCTATTTTGAGACTCATTGGCAGTGCGCATCCACTACCGAGATTCAAACCCGGACATTTCCAATACAATGTAAGCATTATACCAACTATACCAAAGGACCTTGGGGATGAAGAAGAAACTGAATAGACTCGATATAACACCACTACTCACAGATTTCGTGGTGATAATCATCCAAGTATTCATAACCCAACAGATTGTACCCCAAGAGCCACGTCTTTCTATAGCGAATCTATTCAGTTTCTTCTTCATCACCAAGGCCCATTGGTACAGTTGATATGACACTTGTATTGAAACCGTCCAGGTTCAATTCTCAGTAGTGGATGTGTACTGCTGATGAGTCCCGAAATAGGACAAAACGGCCATCCAGTGCTTTCTGCATTCTGTTGAGGATTCTTCTAGATTTGATGAATTACTATAATGATATATATATATATATATGAAGAAATATACTCTTAAGGTGTGCTATATTTATGGGATAAAGTGCTCAATATCAGAGGTAGAGTTTGTAAATATAAAATGAATTTTGAAGTCAACACTTTTTTTTTAAAAGGTTTTATTTTTTTTCAATCGTCAGGCCATGGTGGCCTGACAATTGCATCTAGTATGAAAAATAGCCTGTCATAATCTATGTTGATATTTATATATATATCATACTTATTATAAAACCCACTGTGTGTGTGTGTCTGTTCGTTTATATATTGGATCTGATTTCCAACATTTTTCAACCGATTTCAACAAAACTTCACAGGACTACGTAAAATTACCTTACGGTGGTTCTGACAGCACCAAAAAATGGAAAAACAATTATTTTTGCATGAAATCAATTTGAAAACACGATTAAGCGGCATCACTGTCACGAGAATAAAAGGGGGACAACTCATATTGAGTTATACTTATTATAAAACCCAGGTTGTTTGTGTGTGTCTGTGTTCGTTTATATATGGGATCGGATTTCCTACATTTTTCAACAGATTTCAACAAAACTTCACTTTTTTTTTTTTTGAGGTACTTTTTCTTATTGTCTTGCACACTTTTTTTTTAATTTTTTTTACATTCAGAATGCTTTAAAAATTCCATTTACAAGACAATTGTTTATAATAAAATTCTATTCAATCAGTAGACTCATAACGATTGTAAACAATGTTTGAGTTTGGGTTTGACCAATTTGTAAAAAAAAACAAAAAAAACTAATTAAGACATGCGTGTCCGTCAACCATAAACAATAATCTTTGTCAATTTTATTTTTCAGTCTTTATGATGGTCAATACTTGATCTATCTCTTATTGTTACATCTCCGGGCAATTTAATGCTCTACTGCTAACTATATATATATATATATATATATATATATATATATATATATATATATATATATATATAATGTGGATGTGTGCATTCTGTGTTCAATTTCTTTATCTCCAATGTACTAAAATAAGTAACCAAATAATCATTTTGAGGTTTCAAAATATCATTGAGTGGTTATGATTTTTGTTCTTTAATACTTACATATTTAGTTAAAAATAAAAAAGGACTGATTGACACTAAATATCTTGACATTGGTTGACACATCATAAAATCCAACAACCATAAACTTTGTGTTAATGACAAATACAACAAAGACAAAAAAACATGTCTGTTGAACACCACTTATATTTATTACGTCTCATCTCCTGATGTAATTTTTCCATGATTTTGAATTTCTCTTTTTATTGTCTTTAATTCTAACAGATCAGGTAAAAATCCCATCAAAATTGTGACAAGTTTCAAATCCAGATGAATGCCGCTTTAGGATCCACTGAACCAGTCCTGCTCGTTGGGGATGGAGATTTCTCATTCACTCTCGCTCTTACCAAATATCTGCCACCATCATGTATCATTGGCACCAACCTGGAAACTAGGGAATCAATACAAAAACACAGAAATGCTCAAAACAACATGTCAGAGCTCCTTGAAATAGGTAAGCAGTTTAGAATCCACAATAAAATAAAACATAATAATTCAATATCTGTCTATATCTCTGAGATGAGGTATTATAATTATTTACATTATTCGGACTGTTATCTTCATCTTCGTTGCCATATTCACAATGTTTCAGCCATTGTACACTCCAGCCTTCTTCAGGTGATTGGAATTTCGAACTGAACCCTTGGTTAGATCAAGTGAATAGACCCAAAGAGTTGTGAGTTCAATACCAGGCCACAGCAGTGGTGAACCAAAAACATGGAGAGTTGAGCTAAAGGGAAATAACTGAGACATCCGGAAGAGGCATGGCACGTGGAACGAGAACAATCTACCCCGTTGGACGAAATAAAAGGTTTGGTTCGTAATTCCAATCACCTGAATAAGGCCAGAGCGTATATTGGCCAAAACGTTGTGAAAATGGCAATGAAGATGATGATAACAGTCCGAATAATGTAAATAGCCATCTCATAACTTCCTACCACCTCCTCATTCATCATAACCATTTTAACCCTCTAGCTTGTACGACTCTTGAGCCTTGTATTGGATGAGTATTAAAAAAAAAATTCTGCATGGTCACTTTTGAAGATTTCCTGAGAACTCACAGATATGTAATTACATTATACTGCCTCTGTCCCATAATAATTGTTACATTTTATGTATAAAATGCATATTCAAATGTACCAACTATTATGGAATAGAGCTAGTATGCATCATCATCATTGCGTCAGTCTCGTAACTGGATGCAGTCACAGGGTTGCTGTACAGCTGACCTCTTAACCATCTCCCTCCACGGTAAGTATTCCTACATATGAAACATGTCTTGATCAAAGTGGATACAGAGGAGCCCAAATCACATTAAAACACCGGTTCCCACACGATCACTGAAGTTAAGCAACATCAAGCCGGGTCAGTACCTAGATGGGTGACCACCTGTGAATACAAGATGCTGTAAGCTTAGATGTGCACGTGGTGTAATGGATATTGGCTCGGAAGTGTTAATTGGAAAACGCAAATACCCTTGAGAAGGTATGAATTCGCCTCTTCTCCCCCCAGATATGGGTTAATTAGTAAGATTTCTATCACTAAACCATTATTTATTTTTTAAAAATTTCTTACAATCGAAACGAAATATTTTCAGGCTTTAAATAACCTGGAAAAAGTAATAAGCCGTAGAAAACGAATCAATCGGTCAATATCCTACCTTATGGGAAACGTTAAGCAAATAAAATCCTCATTTCACGGGCAGGCGCATCAACGTTGTAGAAAATTATGAAATCTAATTTTAAATGGAGGTAACTCGCTTCAAATGTTATATTGAGTTACCTCCCTTGTCAAATGCACGAATTAATTTATTGAAACAAAAAAAACAAGTTCAGTTGACCATTGATGACAATTCCAGAACAACGTAACTATAAACAATTTTTATGCTATCCTCTGCCAGTCGCAATGATGGAGAAAGCATTACCGCGAACCATGGCCAGGGAGACACGCTGCAAGAGCCACTCCGTTTCATGAGGCTCGTCCCTTAATCGAGACGCAATCGCACCAATCCTCCGAAGGAACGCCATCGAAGTCTCCACTGCCACAGGAGTAAAAAAAAAAAAAAAATCTCTCAGCAAGAGAAAAATATTTAACTATTTTTTTCATCTCTGCATCCCGGGCGACAAATCCCGGCTCAACCATGGACCTGATCAAATTACCGACCGAAAATGTATCCGCACAGGTCGCCTCCCAAATCAACGACTTCCCCATTTTAAAAGGGAAAATGGTAATGCCATCCGGCCGCTTTCCATCACTGCGGTCGAGGCCTGCAGGTTCAATTTGGGAAGAGAACCCAGCTGCATCCATACCTCTTTTGATGATGTCGTTAATGGCTGCATGCCAATTGACGAATTGTATGAGAATTTACATTTCTCTTTTCTGTTTTGTTTTGAGTTTATAACGGCTATATTTATTTAAATCCATTAGCGTAAAATCCAGTGTCCATCTTTTAAAAAAGAAATGTAATATTAATTATAGGTTCATAAAAAGATAATAAAAGCAAAAGCAACCAGAGTTATGCACAGTGGGATGGATAAATTGTCACCTAAATGGAAATAACACTGACATCTCATTTTTTTTAACAGATATATTTACCAAAATTTCACGAAAATGTCTTTTGTCCTGGGTACGATGATAAACTACGCCCGCGTCTAGGGTAAGATGATAGACTACGTCCAACAGCAAGGCCTCTGATCAGGAAGTTTTGAGGAGCGTGGAACCACCTCTTAATTGCTGGTGTTCCCAGGTCCACCCTGACCCGGGGTGGTAGCACCTGTTAGGGTCCCAGCTATGGGCAAATAGTTAACACCCAAACTTGTGTAAAAATAGGTTTCAATACCAGAAATGCTTTGTAATAAAGGAAAATGGTTCAAATATATATGTATACATACACACCTTTTTTACCAAACTATCACTATAAATTTATTTAAAAAATTTTGTTAGCATTAAATGACCCACTGAGGTTTTGATACGCCATAAAACAAAACAACCAACCAAAAATGGCTTTAAATACTAAAGAGGAAACTTATTCAGTAAAATCACCATTAGCTTCAATGACGATATTCAGTCCCCCCCCCCCCCACGAGGGTGTCATGTGGCACAAGGCCTTTTTAACGTGGGCATTTCCGAGCCATTAGGCTCGGCCAAAAAATAGCCCATTTGAACCCGTATAAACGGGTTCAGGGCCGGTTTTACCTCCCCAAAGGAGACTCCGCCCTTCGGCGTAGCCTCCTTCGGGTTCCTCCTGCCCGTAGGAAGAGAGTACAACCAAACAGTCGGTTCAGAGTTGAACAACTGACTCTTAGCTTCAATGACAACCTCCAAACGACTTCGGAATCTCCTGCAATTCTTCTGGGCGGTCACCTTGTTTAAATTGGTGAATCCTTGCCTTCAGTTCTTTGGTGTTTTGTTGATCTCTTGCTTAACTGCACCCCACGCATAATAATCACTGGGGTTGCAGTCTGGATAGTTAGGTGGCTAGATGCAATGGGTGATGTGGTCGCAGAAATTGTGTGGCATAGTGTAGAGTTTTGTTGCCAGACTTTCAGCAGCCACCCTGTTGACCCAGATCTGCACTACCACCTCAAGGAACTTATTGTAGGCCTCCATGTTCAATATGATACCCTGTGGGAAAATGAGTGGATGCATAATGTTGCCATCACTAGTGATCACTCCAAACACTATTAGACTCATCCAATTCTTTCCGAATCCTCTGCACTGTCCTCAGATTAACACCAAAACACTCTTAAATATTCGTATTGGAGATTCCACTGTAAATGCCAAGCAGTACAGCATGTCATTTTCAAATTTCTGGCAAAGCGAATGGCATCATGGGACTCTTTTTCTCACAGATGATGACCAATTGACCTCACTATACTGTACAATTGACAAAATCAAAAATAAACAATGAGTGTAATTAAAAATATAAAATGGTGTCAATTTACCCATCGCACCCGATCGGTTTCTCTCTAGAGGACATAAAGCAATTTTCCAATTGTTTTGGTGATATTTTCTGCACAAGTAATCTAGAAGTTTTATCTCCTCAATGAATTCTGTTATCTCATATAAAAAAGAATTCTACTTTTAGATAATTATGTCTAGAGAAAGCTAATATGACTTGTACCATCCTAAAAATGGCAACAGGATTTTTATGTAATTAACTCCATTGTTGCATGGTAAGAGAATTCAGCTTTATAAATAAGTAGCTCCAAAGAAAAGTGAAGCCTAAGGTTTAAAATGCATTTTTTAAAAGTCAAAACTCTATCTTAGTTTTAATTTCAAGCTAATAGATTAAATTAATATTTCCACTAAGCAAAATAGTATGCTGTATTTCAAACTAAATAAAATTGAATGAACTTTTTTCATCCATATTGACAAATCTGTCACCACAAAGTAATGCTCTTCATTAAAAAAAACTTTGAAAAATAATAATAATGTACTTTTCTGAAATTTTACCTGTATTATTTACATTATTCGGGCTGTTATCCTTGTCTTCATTGCCATATTCACAATGTTTCAGCAGTTGTACACTCCGCCCTTCTTCAGGTGACTGGAATTTCGAACCGAACCCTTTGTTTCGTCCACCAGGTTAGATCGTTCTAGTTCCACGTGCCATACCTCTTCTGGATGTCTCAGTTATTTCCCTTTAACTTGACTCTCCAAGTTTTGATTCACCACTGTTGTGGCCTGGTATTGAACTCACAACTCTTTGGATCTAGTCACTGAATCTAACTAACATCTTTATCCACTGGGCCATGTGTCCTTGAGGATGAAATAATGGTTTTGGTTTGAAATTCCAATCCCCTGAAGAAGGCCAGAGCATAACACAGCCAAAATGTGAGTATGGCAATAAAGATGAGGATAACAGTCCAAATAATATAAATAATGCAAGTAATCATAATAGCTTATCTCAAATATATAGACAGATATTTCTGAAATTTTATTTGAGGATGATTAGCTTGATTTAAAGTTTAATTAATTTGTAGCAAATATTACTTACTTTTAGTTTAAAACATCACAGAAAAGCATTTTTTAACACAATGTGAGTGTTTTTATGAGGTGTTGACAACTCTCTCCATAGACATAAGTTTTAGACATTTTTCTAAGGGGGACATAACTATAAAAATTACTTGATGAATATAAATTGAATACCTTTTTTATATATTTTTTTAACTCCCCAATAATCTTAAAAATTCAAGAAAATATTTTAAGCAATCTAATATATTATTGAATTTTACATATTTTTGCCTTTATAGTCTAATTTAGGAAGACACTTGTTGAGGAAATGTTAGAACATTACCAATAAATTTTAACTTTGCTATAGTTACCATTCTTATCTTCTAATAATATCGTGTATGGACTTTTGTATTTACAAAAATTGGCACATTTGTACACACATAAAATAAATTCAAAATTCTTTTCAAAATATTGGGGTCATTGAATTGTAGTGAACTTTTCTATATATGATTAATAAAAACAGTCTTAATAATATCACTTGACTCCAAATTAATACAGCATTTTAAATGATTTAAATGTTTATAAATTATTGTATTTAAAATTTAAAAAAATGAGAACTATTCATTGAAAAAACAAGTTTTCTTAAGACTAGTGTCAATATATTTTATACATAAAAATAATTTAAAGCTTTTCAAATTAAATAATTTCTTAATTTTTGTTTTTATTTTAGAATTCAGAGATTTTCTGTAACTGAGGGTCCTGTTTGACAAAAAAAAAAATCATGACTTAAATTCTCCAAGGACTTGTACTTGTAACTAATATAAACATTAAGAGCTACAAAAAAGAATGTCTCGAAATTTCATAAAATTAAATAAGTGGAGGTTAGGAGATGTAAATATATTTTTACAAAGATTTTCTAAAAAAGAAACATTTCAAAAATAATTTCATTATTTGTGAATAAGTCCTAAAAGTTTCATTAAAATCTGGCAAATAACTGATTTTTACAAGAATTTCCAAGTCGCTGTGTTTTTATCACAAAAAAGAAGTTAAAATTTCTCTATAATTTATGGTGCAATGTTGATATCAGAGAAAGAAGATTTTTAACCAAAATTTTGAAGGTTCTAAAAAGGATTTTAAAAAACAATTTTTACATTAAAAAAATCTTTTGATCTTCTCTTGTAGGGACGTTATTATTATTATTATAAATAAATAAAAATTAAATATAAAATAATAATAATAGTGAAATTTATAAATAAAATAAAACAATAAGAAAAATGTTGTATAAAATGAATTAAAAATAATAAAAATACTCCCAGCATTGCAACAAAAACTCTTCCTGCAGGAAATGCAGACATCCCACCAAAAGATGTTAAATTCAATCTCTTTGCCACGAACCTGAATACAGGCAATACATATCCAACTTCTCTCTGTAATATGGTTTACAGAGTGACTTCTC